ACAAGCTTAAAATCAGTCTTCAACAGTAAACATTTTCTATAATGCAGTATCCTTACACATTATAACACATCTTATTAATAATCAAAACTAAATTTTCAACCTCATAACTATATCCAAAAAGATGGCTATATATTTACACTTCAAAATTTACACAGATGGCTCTCTTAACAAATGGAACAAAAAATCATATATGGAACTAGGCTGGATTATCATCACTCCAAACAATGAAGAATACATATTCAGAGTACAAATTTACTTACACCCCTTATCCTAAATAGCAGAAATTATAGCCATAACAATAATAATATTAACACTGCTAGAAAACTCAATAGCAAACATTTTCACAGAAAGTCAAACAGCAATCAATTGCATTCATTAGACCATGAAAGTCTCAGCATCATGCCTTATTATAAAACAAAAGAACTTCCATATGCTTTAAACTATAAAAAATACCTGCATTGCAAGACACCTTAAATTGCAAATACAGAAAGTCCAAGTCCACTCAGGTATTAAACACAATGAACAAGTAAATTAATTGATCTCAATAGATATAGGTCTATAAGAAATACGTCCAGGCACCAGTACCCTCAACATCCAACCAACTCAAAATCCACAAACACATATAACAATATAGTAGGATAATATCCAAATCGACATATCCACAAAGAACATTTGCAAAAAGATCACCCAGGCAAAATATAATGCACAATAGTACTTAATCAACAGAATACTTACAGACTTTACTGGACAATACAAACATATCCATTGGCAAAAAACACACAACCATCTACATTTATCTCAGATTAGCAACACAAATACCTTATTTGAAGATCAGTAAATTCACAAGTTCTCACTAAACCTATGGGATAATGAACTTCCAATCAAAACCAAATTATATAGTAGAAAACTATCACTATATAAAGACAATAAATGCTACAGCTGTGATCAAGTGGAAGACAACTATCATCCTTTTCTGTGACAACACAACAAAATAGGCATCAAACATTAAGCCATAACAATAATGCAGAAAGCAATACTCAAGTACATATCTAGAGAAAGAAAAAGTTAAGTATTAACTACAATAAAGAGCAATTTAATTTTGGATATTACACAGCAGCTCAAGTTATTTATCAAAGGAATCTTCTTCAAATCCACCATCAAAACAATCTACCAAATAATCTGCAATGCAGTTAAAGCAAAAAACTGTATAGCTGAAATATCAGTAGAATAGAAAAAATTCTTATATTCAACTTGGAAGGTTAGAAATGAAATATTTCAAAGATGTAAAGAGGAACATGAAATCTCAAGAAAAAAAGAAAGACATTATAAATATGAAAAATTACCCCCAAACCCATCCAGATGGAGAAATGAACAAGTTATCAAATATAGCTACATGAATCTAATCAATCAATATATAAAAAAATTTATCCTTGAAAACACTAACATTATATTTATCTTTTTTTTGAACCCAGCACTAGCTTTGCCTTGGCAGATTAGTCCTACTTTAGTTTGGAATGGCATCAAGCCATCTGGTGAATTCTTTAAAACATCTAACTAGTTCTAAAAAGTTTAATAGCATGTATAATATTTTTTGTAATCCCTATAATATACAGTTGCATATTACTTTATCAAGCTAATAAACAAGGCCAAGCCAGCTAAAAAAAAAAAAAAAATTATAATTAACTTAATTTAAGTTGGCTTGTACTTAGAAAATAGATAAATATAGTTGAGCATTGAATGGTACAATATACAGTTATCAATTACAAGTTTTGATTATAGTTATGTAAGTTGCCTGATAGGCTTAACACCTTTTATTATACTTAAATATTGCTTACTCAGATCTCAAAAAAGGACATGTTATCTTCTTTATTATTATAAATGATATCAAATTAATCTCTATTGATTAACTTTCATTTAAGTAGAACTTCCAATTAGAAGCCTAAAAGGATAGAGTATTGAAGACTATTAGAATAGAAAATCTACTATTTGTATAATATTTGTAAGAATTAAACTAGAAATCTATTTTTATATATTCTTCTAATAATATAATTATAATATTAGTTTCTGATCAATATAAGGCTAAAAGTTATATCTTTATATAGCTTAACTTAATTTGATTAGATATAAATAATTGAGTATAACTTTTATAGAAAAACTAATAAATTTAATTAGAAGTTAAATTTTTGATTTGGCTCTTAAGTGATATTGAATTCCAGATCTTATAATTGGGACTTGGGACATTATCTATGCTATTAATCTAATTTTAAATTATTAATATAAATTTGATAATAATATATTAAATTATAAATATAAGTTTTAATAATTTGCTTATAATGATATAGTCTTATTTTAAGTTAATAATATCAATTTTTAGTTAATATTATATTTCAATTTTGTTAAAGTTAAGTTTTATAGTTTTAATAAATATTGGATTTATAATCTTATTGAAATTAAAATTTGAAATTTTGATGAACATTATAATTTGCAATTTCAGTAAAATTGAAATTTTAATTTCATAGACTTTATAATTTATAATTTTAATTAATATTAAATTTATAATTTTAATAAAATTAAAATTCTAATTTCTATTCAAAAGAAGTAAAGGCAGGTATTGAAGAAGTAGTGGTAAAAGAGCTAGATAGAATAGTTTTAATTTAAAATTATAATTTTTATAATATTCACTTAATGAAATATAAAATTATAATTTTTATAATATTCACTTAATTAAATATAAAATTATAATTTTTATAATATTCATTTAATAAATATAAAAAGTAACATTTAATTCTATGATACAAAATTGATTATAACATTAGCTAAACTGAAAATTGATCAAATATTGTTTTTAAATTTGACTTATAATATTTCGTCTAAACTAGCTTAATAGATTCTTTAAATTTTTAAAATATTATAGTCATTTAACTATTAATATAATCATCTTGTGATAGTTAATCTAACATTTAATGTTTCATGGTGACATGAATTGGTGATTAATAAAAAAAAATATTTAGAAAATCTAGTAATAAGTCTATTTAAATAATAATTCTATATTAATCAACCAATTTTCAAAAAACCTTTTTAATTGATAGTATATTATTAAGAATATTTGATTATAACTCTACTAAAACCGGAGGCAAATAAAAAATAAATGAAGCAAAAGTAATTGTAGTTACGCAAGTGTTGCGCTGAATTGTGAAAATAGCTTTGTGGAAAAGCTTGGGGTTGTGCAATTATTGATTTGATTTCTAGAAAAAGGTGAGTTGTAAGGGATAAACAAATTTTAACTCAACTTAAAGGGTTTTGTTTGGGGTACAGTAATTTCAAACCCAGATATTCCGAGTAGTCCCAAAAATTTTTGATTATCCGCAAGAATAATTTCCCGATATATAAAATATATAAAATTTTATGAGCAAAATCTTTACTATACGTAAAAAAAAAAAAAAAAGGTCCAAAATAATAAATTATTTTCTGGTTTTATGTTATAATTAATTACTGTATATTGTAAAAATAGCAAAGAAAAAAAAAAGCGTGAATACGTATAAGAAATGATTGCACTAATTAAGTGTTCTATAATATTTCATTTAAATTGAAGTGATAATAATTTAAAAAAGTAACATAATTCGTATACCATTTCATTATTCACATCATTAACCAAAATTATTATCAAATGGTAATATAAATTTATAAAATTCAAGTTTTGCATTCAATTTAACATTATGCAACATAATTTCTAAAATTTAAACGATTATATTTTTCGGCATCTCAGTATAACTATTATGATCAGCTCCTGAACACGGTAGGATAGACTCACGTAATTTAAATTTCCGGCGTAGCTTTGGATAAATATTTTCTGAAATTTAAACGAACAGAACGAACATAACCGAAGAATTAAAGTCAACTACCGTAAGCTAGCCAATACGTAGATGAAAATCAACTTTTGTATTAATAAAGTTTGGTAAAGTCACAACTACGGAACAATTACAGTACATAACAAATAGTGTACTTATTATACAAGGCATTGCACAGCGTATAATTAATAACGATTATTGCGGCATTTACTATTTATTGGACAAATGCGTTAGATTTTGAACATCCGTTCTCTAATCGGAGTCCGCCGCCGAATTATGAACAGTGAAAAAAATGCATGGAGGTGATGGTTTTTATGGTGGCACATAACATCATAGTCATTTCCGTATAAAGAAATTTATGCTACTCGAAACAAACGCCAATCATAAACTTTAATAGTGGATCTTGAACATGTATTTAAATATTGTTTTGAGTGGCCGCAATTCCTCTGGAAAAAAAATTGATTAAACGCAGAATATTGATTAGACAACCACAAAGAGGAAATAATAAAAGAAGAACAAAGTGATTGACTTTAAAGTTCAGGAGTCAAATTTAGTATCCGAGAACTATATCCATGTAGAAATATTGCCTATTTTATAAAACGCGTGATTGCATAAAAAATTTTTAAATGCATTACGTTTATGGTATAAATTTACGTGAATATACGTAAAATATTTACGGAATGTCTCATTCTTTATGCATCCAAAATTTCCGCTAAAACGTGCGTGTCATTTAATAACTATTTGTTTGCCTTATATCTTTATTGAAATGCCGCGCGCTATCCTTTCTTTAAAAACAAAAACAAACAAAAAACCTTTCTTTTTTTTTTTAATATAAAAGAATAGTACAAGAAATATACTGAATAATAACAAATTTGGGAATCAACAAATGTTTTTTATCTAATAAATGGGGTTGATATTCCGGAGTTATGGTGCGTAAAGAAATTATTTCCGTTCCTTTCATCAAGTAATCTTGAAAAAGTTCTTCTATGGCACTATGGACTCCTATGCGAGAAAAAAAGGATAAAAAAATTATATATAGGCCCTACCATCTCTTCAATCTTTCGTCAGTTCTGAATTTTTAATGTACTGTACGTAATTAAAAAATGAATAGCTCTGATCACCACATTCCTTCCGAGAAACTGTCGGAAGATTATGTCAATAACGAAAGGATTACGTTTAATAAGGATGTTTATGGGAACTATTACATTTCGCACGGTCTATATGGAAGAAGAACCATATACAAAGTCGCCGACATCGACGCGTTTTGTAAGAAGCCCGCAACAGCTTATATCATCCACCGCACATCGATCCAAAACTGTTTCCGAGTTTTGGATCTTAAATATAAACGCGAAGAAGTAAGCAGAGTTGCCAAAAAATTCTGGGATGACTTAAAGATCAAAGACCCACATTTAATAATGACGATTAAAAAAGCTTATAGTCTTGCGATCGAGAAGTATAAGCACAGGCATCTTGAAATATGTCAATATGTCCACAAAAAGGAAAAGTTGGTTCCTAACCTCAACAAAAACGAAGAGGAAAATTTGATCAAAGATTTATTTCCAGACTTTTTTGACCAATTCTAACTTCAAGATTTTTTCCTTTAAAAAATAATTTATATATAAGTACCCTATGCAATTAATTAAGATTTTTAAGCTTAAAATTTATGAAATACGTATGTATAAATTATGTATGCTTTGAATAGTTTATCCGCGACTTAACTAAATAAATAAAATGACATGAAATATGAAATAAATTTAAATTCTTGATGTTATAATTTATATTAAAGATGTTATAATTTATAAATAATCTATTGGTTACAAAAGTTCCTCAGAAAGCGATAACGATTTTATAATTGATATACTGATATCAAAAATTTCTGTATAGCAATATATTTAATATTTAAGTTATACAGTTTATATTTAGTTAACTAAGTATGGAACATTTCATTTATCAAAAAATTTTTCTAATAATCAATGACGCAATGCTTTTAATATGAAATATTAACAATCTTAAAAATTAAAGAACAAAACAATATTAGATAAATTAAAATTTTTGAAAATTAATAAAAAAATATATATTATTTTCAATCATTGTTAACTATTTAATTTTAATTTTTATTATTGTAATTAATTTTTAATGCTGGATTATTTATTTGAAATAAAATAAACTATAATTAAAAAATTCTAAAACTATTTATATTTATATTTTAATCATCAAAATTTGAGATGATCTTATAACTTGTTGCCACATCTATAAAGAAGCTAACCAGCCAATAATAAGAAAAAATTCTTTATAATATATTAAATAATTATGATATTCTTAATTGTATATATATATTAGATTTATAAATTGATTTTATATATCTTTCTTTTATTCTTATACTGTATATATATATTTTATAATTTTTTGTCATAGCTTTATTATTAAAACTTTTTATATTTGAATATTTATAATTGTTTGTTATAGTTTTATTACTAAAACTTTTATATTTGAATAATTTTATTAATTTGAATACCATATAATTTTATATTTAATTTTCTATATATAACTTGTTCTGTTTCTTTTTTTAAAAATCAGTTTTTTAAATTTAAAATATATTTTCTTAAATAAACTTATTTAATTATATATTTAAAATATTATATAAATAAAATATAATTTTTCTAAGTTATAGATATATTATATATTATTTATCAAAAAAACTCTTTGTATATTTTTTTTCCTAAATATGTTTTTAATAATTTTTTTAAAAAAATAAATGAAAGAAATAGGTTCTTATAAAGAATTCAAAAAACAATCAATATGAAAAGATAAACTATAATAAAAACTTATAAATTAAAAGCAATATAAAAATTATATATAAAGAACCAAATATAGAAATAATAAAAAAATAATAAAATAAAATAATAACTATTATAAAGGAAGAAAACTAACTTAAAAAGCAAATCATCTCTTTCCCGTAGATCCATCTTTTTTTCAAAATTTCCTTTTATGGTAATTTTTGGAAAAAGTCACAAAAAATCAAACGGCAAAGAGACAAACACCATGGAGAGGTCCAAAAGGTCACAATATGCAAACAGCAGGCCTAACTACAACTTAGACAAGCTCACCAAGGGAAAGGCCACCCCTATC